GATCAATTGCTCCCTTATTATCAACTTATAGGTGTAAAGCATATTTTCACTTTTTCATCATTCATCAACTCAGCATCATATAACATATCATTCAATCAGATTATCTCACAAGCTGCCTTGCTAGCTGCAATATATTCGGCTTCTGTGATTGATTTAACAATAGATGTCTGTCTCTGCGAACACTATGAGATCGGTGACTCATTAATCAATATAACATAGTCAGTAGTCAATTTGTATTGAGAATCTGCCCTCACTCAGTCCAAATCACAGTATGTCACAGAACTCAGGCTCACATCACCGATCTCCTTCCTGTATAATATGCCATGGTTTTTCATCTTCTTGACATAACATAGAACATGCTTCAACACTGTTCAACATGTCTTGTATAAACACAAGTTAAAACATGAGAGATAGTTGATCATGAACACCAGGTCTGACCGGCTGCTTGAGATCAAATACTGCAATGATTTCAATCCTTGATGATATCTTATAGCTGTAAAGTTGTCATTCAATTCTTCCCCCTCATCAGGTGAGAATTCCAGTCATATGCCAGCTGCTATTGAGGTGCCAGCTGGATTTATCTTATTCATGCTGAAATCTTCAAGAATCTCCTCAATATAACAGCTCTGTATAACTGCTAGATCATCATTCCTCTGGCATTTGACCTTCATCTCAAGATATGACTTGATCTCTTTAACATTCTTTGTCTCAAATCTCTTTGCAATCTTTCTTAATACCCAGTCTAATTACTGTTCTTGAGGTCCTGTCACCTGACAATCATTAACATGCAATGTCAGATAGATCTTGTAAACAGAGTGATATAGAAATTCACTGTCATAAGATGATATCTTGAATCCTAATGTAGTCAGATGCTCTGTTGCAAGAAAATACCATACTCTTGCAGCTTGCTTCATTTCATATAGACTCTGGCAGAGTAATCTCATCAAGCCCTCTCTGTCATGCTTAACACCTGTGAGCAGTTGCATATAGATCATCTCATTCTGTGATAGTATGTCATTTAAAAACACAGATACATAGTCAATTGATTTAACCTTTCATTCTTTGACAGTCAATATAGTGAATAGGCTGTGTGATATAGGCCCTGATACCACTGCAGTATACAATCTTGTATAATGAATATTCTACTGTTGCAAGAACTCTCTAATCACTCAGCAAGCTCTAAAATGAATGATTTCTCTCTTATTGTTGAATTTCTGATCATATACTCATTTATCTGTAAGAATATCCATTTCCAGGGTCTTCTCAATGATAATATATGTCTTCTTCTGTTCAAATATCTTAACCTTCTTTTTCATTGTCTCATATCAATAGTCTCAGTCTGAGCTTCTCTTGACTTCCATCAGTGTAGTTGATCAGTCTGTCAGAACACTTAGAACAGAATCATTCTCATTAACAGAGTCTTCAGACTCTTCATTCATGACAAGCTGTGTCTCATTATCTAGAAGATAGATTAAATCAATTACACTCTCTAAGTTCTTATTTACAATTATCTTCAAAACATCTGACTTTTTCTTTACAAGGTGTCATAGTAAGCAGTGCTGTTATCTCTCTCTAACATTCAGAATGTTCAATTCATTAAGCAATTCATTGAATTCTCTCACTGTATTTACAGGTGTATTTGCACTCATGTCAAAAGCTTCATCAAATATGACATCTCATACAATCTCAAGATAACATGCAACAGAATCCCATACATGATATTGATATAATTCTTGATATTCAACCAGCTGTCATTCCTTGTCATCAGTTCTATCTGTGAGCTTATTTGACACTTTCAAATTCTTCTTATAGACCTTGCATCCTCATCTCTGTATTCAATGAACAGAAGATTGCACCTCAGTTCAAGCTTTAAAAGATGTAAGTGATGTTTCTTCCTTGCATTCAAATATCTTTATTGATGTTGAGAATGTGTTGATTATCATGATCACAGCTTGTATTACTTCATCTCAAAGTTCTCTTTCTAATTCACTATTAAATAGTAGACTTCACATCTTTTCTGCAACTATTCAATTCACACATTTCACTAGATCATTCAATTGTGATATATCAGATGTAGTCATTTCATATGCTATTTCTTTGCTCTGACAGTAGATCTTAAGTTCTTGACTTTTGAACTCTTCTTCATCATCTCAGTGTAGGGTTTCAACTCAATATTGTGTAATTATCTCAATATCTGTGATGAAATTCATTAATCTTGCAGTAGATTCTCTCTTTCTTATCATAAGAATTGCTCATCTATAACAGATTGTATTATCTGTTATACTCAATCAGTAGCTTGCACCCTCTCTAGTGAGAGTGTCATTTCTGTTGAAAAGTGTTTTTCCACTCCCTGTCAGATCAATGAAGAATCTCATTACTGACTTGACAGCTCATGTCATAGATGTGAAGGTTGAATATGTCATTTTTACCTGTATACAGGTCTTGCAGAATGGCAAAGCTCTGTCATTCTTTATTCTCATTTCTAGTTGTGAATCTGCTGTCATTTTTACAATATTCACAGAATTCAGATGTTCTAGCTTTTAATATCATTGTATTATTATAAGTTCTATAACCTTTGTATTATTTCTTTCAGATAGTGTCAATATTGTATCATCTTTCATCTGTAATGTGTTCACAGGTTCAAAATCATCATTGAGTATAGCAAACCAGATCAAGTCTCTGTATGTAATCAGTCTTTTCATCTCATAGATATCATTCTCATTTAATCTTGCTGTAAATAAGAACATGCAGTCAGGAGATATAATCAATATAGCATGATTATTCTCATATGTCAACTGCTTATAGATATAACCCTGACATACAAGCTTATTCATACTCATGAGGTTCACTTCTAACTTCAGGACATAGCAAACATCATTTAACAGCATATCTGTTCCTTTCACTGAAATCTTTGTATCTTCTATAGCTGCAGCAGAGACCATCATTCTGTCTGTCATTTTCAACATCACTTTCATCTTCTGAGGTTTTGCCATGATAAGATCTCTGTGAGGTGTGATATGAGTGCTCAATTCAGAGTCTAGAATTCAGGTATCTTTTCCTGTCTGACTACTTGCATAGGCCTTTTCTTTGATGTAAAATACTTGCTTTATGATATTGTGAACAGGAGCAGCATCTATATTCTCTGCATTCTTGTCTTTATTCTTGTTTCTATTGATGTTGAAGTTTGAATTTGAAGAATGTTTCTCAGAGTATTTCTTTCAACAGTTAGTCTGAATATGATCAATCTTTTAACAATAATAGCAGATCTTCACCTCATTACTTCTACATTTAGGTTTGAATTCAGTGTTCTTGTCTTTCTTATCCTTGTCTTAGGCATTATTCGCGGGATTTTTCATGAATTCAGTACTACTATTTTCTGCAGTAGAAAGGTGTAGAAGTATGTCACAGTATAATCTCATGAAGTCTTCTTCTAAAGGTCTTGAATTGTTCTTATCAATCTGGTTCATTCTATTCTTTATAAAGAATGCTCAATCTCTATTGACTTCTGTCAGTAATCTATTGAAAAACACAACATCTTCAATCTTATATCTCAGACAGATATAATCAGTTCTGATAATAATTAATCATTCAATGAAAGCTCTGTCAGATTCTTTGCTTTTATAGATTATTTCAATAAACTCTTTAAACAAACAAGTTCTGTGTATAGCAGGTCTCTCAGAAAAGTTATCCTCTATGATAGTTCATAGAGCATAAGCTGATAATTTGAACTTCTTAAGTATAGTGAAATGAGTCTTGATCTGCAGGGCAATTGCAGACCACATGTAATTATATAATCAAAGATTGCATTCTTTTCAGAAACATTGCATGTTCATGATAACATTCTCATCAAGGTCATTATCTTCAAGAATATCATCAGTTTCAGACTGTTCTATAGTCAAAAGAATTTTCTCTCTTCACATTGAGTAGTTAATGAATTCAGTGAGAACAATTGATCTTTTAATGAGTCTTACTTGACTTCTGAATTCTTCAAGAACTTTTATTATGATAGATATCTTCTCTTTCTGTTGAAGATATTCTGTCAGATCTGCTCTCATCTCATCACCTGCAGGGTCACTTCTACTGATCTTCATTCACTCAACCTCATACTGAAGTCTTGCAATTTCAAGCCTTATACAAGTCTTCTCACTTGCTGAGCTATTGTCATTCCAGTCACTTGAGCTCTCTGCATTGTCTGACATCTCACTGATGCCTTCAACTGAGTCTTCATATATATTGAACTCATCAGACTGTTCTTCTGCAATGATTTCATTCAGCTCAAACACCTCTGAAGCCACCTTCTGATTTGTTATTAACATTGACAGTGATCTGTGATCTTGCATTTACTGCTCTGATGTTTTCTTGTTTCTTCATCTTGAAGGTATGTATTCTTTTGTTAAGTCAGGCATCCCCCCGGATCTTAGATTAACCATGGGTTCAATTAATTAATAAAAAACATCTAGGCACGCGTAATAATACATGGAGATGTAGTTGACATGTTATTACAGTTATTCATTGCTTGTGAAGAGCTTCATAACCTCTTGAAGAATAACATTGTTATGTTGTAATCTAACTACGCGAGTTACACTAAATAGGTTGGGGTGGCACGTGACTAGGGTAGGTGTAGTAATCACCAACAGATAGAAGATCTGATGTGATCGAATCTAAAAAATATATGAATCACACACTCATCTTATACACTGAACTACTGTCATGTTAAATACAAAGTGATAGAAGTTTTAGACAGTCACAACTATTATCTTAATGTGATTAAAAGAGTGCTTAAGTCAGTGTATAATTAGAGACGTACACCGGCTTCTTATATACATTATACTAAATTAATTAGTGGCCGCTATGGCTTCTTTACATTCGTAAGTGTGTTCAGAAGCAGGTGTGTTATTATTCAGTAGTTGTATATTCTTCTGAATCACATTCTCTCTCATTAGATTCAGTCACACTCATATAATCATGATGTAAGCTGCTCTCGGAGAAGCTTTCACTATTTTATATTACTTATTCACTAATATTTCTATTCTTCAATTATCATCTCTATTATCATCATTATTAAATACTATTATCTTATACAAGATTTCTGCTTCTTCTTCTGTTTAACATCTTCTATTCATTTATCTATCATATTATACATGTTTCTGGCAATAATCTCTCATTCTCATAACAAGTATTATTATAGCACTTATATCAGGCAGTTTATTAGCAGTAAGTATAATGTGTTGTGAAATATAATCAGAACTTGTTTTTTCTTCTAATAATTATCAAAATGTATTATTATAAATGACTTATCTTCTTCATTTTCTTATACACTCTCAATCTTCTTTTCTCAGCAGACATCAGATTGTGTTTTCAGATATAATTTTATATAAATGCAGATACTAATATATTTGTTTTTATTTATATAGAATCTTTACATATTGACAGATCTGTATCTATTAATGATAATGAACTCAATGTTGAATTATTAATCAAGACCTTAAAGAATATAATAATGAAGAAATTATTCATGTTATATGTAATCAGATCTTCTATATTCTTCTCTATTCTCTCTGTTTCTTTCTCTGCTACTCTCTCTCAATCTTCTTCACTTATTTCTGTATCTGATTCTCTTACTCTCACAATTTCTACTCTTACTATTCTTACTTCTACTATCTCTACTCTCACTACTTCTACTCTCTTTATCTCTGTCACTTCTGCTGCTGTTATTAGCTCTTCTCATTTCAAGAAGATATTGTATAGACTTAATAAATCACATTTCTCAGTATATACACTCTCACTCTTTTTACTAATCTCTAGAATAATTTATTATATAAAGACTGTGTATAATACAACTATCTGAAGCTCAGTCACAGACACTGATTATTATATTTATTTTAAATATTCATGATAAGATAATTATACATTCATACTAAAGAATTATTCTTCATTTTAACAGTATTAAGATTATAAGTCTTCTTCTTTCATCTTTTCTTTCTGATACTGATTTTTCTGTTCTTAGAAGAAATTATTATGAGTTTTATTATATACAAAGTTATAATATTCACAGATATTAAGAAACTTTTTACATTATTAAATTTAATATTATAGATATATCTGCTCTGATAAATTTCTTTAAAATAATAGACTTATATTAACCTATTCTGTAATATCTGTTATCTGACTTTAAAATGCAGGTGAAGAATATTCATATTTTCAGAAATAGAAATACAGATATTATACTCTTTTACATCTGCAGACATGAGACTTGTACATCTTATCTAAAATATTATTGTGAAAATGAGCTGTTTATATACTGTATTCTACTTTCTGCATTTCTCTGTATCTCTCTCTCTTTCTGAGAAGTCTCATGCATGTTGTAATTACATATACAACTCTAAAACTAGCAGTTGTTTATTCAGTAATTATTCTCATTTCTGTTTTTATAGTTTTATATACTAATAATGATTCTTAGTTACTTCAGTGTCAGATATCATTTTAATTTTCAAAGATAATAACATCACTGAGACTATACTCTCTCACTCTTAAGCTTCTTCTGTTGTTTTCTCTTCCTTCTCTGTAGAGAAGATTATATGCATATTAGATTATAAGTATTCAGCTCTGAGTGACTCTCATTATTATTTATTCAGTCTGTCTATGCCTTCTTCTCAGCCTTCTTCATTCTTTTCTATCTCTTTCTCTTCTACTCTAACTTCTGATTCTGCGGGTTCTGCACTCTCTTTCAATTTTTCTATATGCATACATACATATTTCTATATTAGTATTTCAGTCAATCTTGTGATAAATGACATTAATGTTATATACAGAGTAGTAGAGAAATCAGAGACATGTATAACATTGTTGTAAGAGTAGCTTACAGCTCTTAAATTTCTTACAGATCTTAAGTTTTGAGATTTCCTTTGTTTTTGATGTTTTTCAGATAACATGATGTTGAAAATAGATTAAATATGTGACATATAAAAATGAATAAGATGTGTATAATAACATTTGACTTTTTATAACTGACTCTTACATTTAATGACTAATTCATTATCTCTTCTCTTTTTCTATACTTTTTCTTTATCTGTTAGTCACTACTCTTACACAATCTCTATATACTATAGTATTCAGTAACTAGATTCAGCCGCTTTCATCTCTTATAATTCTGTTTCACATATTATATTGTCTCTCTTCACTCACTCAGACTACTACAGTGAATAGCTTATTGAAACTAATCTTATCTAATCTCTGAGTATTTTCAGAGATTGAGATAACTTAATCTTATATATTCATAAATGTTTCAGATGCTTCATTCTCTATTATCTTTATAATTAAACTGATATAAATAGTTGAATTCAACTCTGAATTCCTTTTTCTTCTGTTATCTAACTTATATACAAGTCTGCTGCTTTGACACTGCTCTTTACTGTGTTACACCTGCTATTTACAGTGTATTATTATATGACTGACTATAGTCTCATCACTTATTAAAGTGTGATATTTATCTGATTTCTTCATTTCTTCTCATTCTTTTCTTATTATTATGAAAAGATTGAAATAAGTGAGATTATCTGATTTATAAGCATCTATAATTTGTCTTACTTTGTAAGACTTTTTAATTATAAGTCTCTTCTTCTTCAATACTGATGATAGTACTATGAATAATTATAATTTACTCAGGTCTCACATCTTTATCTCTATAAGATGTAAATTATTTATTAAGTTATGTTAGACCTGTTTCTCTGATTTCTTCAATATATATATTCTCAGAGAATGTGATTTAAGTATTTTATAGAGCTCAAATCATCTAGATTGAAACTTCTCAGAACTCTTATTATATACAAAAACTTATATTCTGATCTTAAGACTTGATTTCTTAACTAGTAAGTCTCATATTCTTTTTGATTGAATTACTCAGTTCAGAAGTAACTTGTTAGCTTTTACACATACATAACTGGTCTCTCTGCCCCGGTGGCCGAATGAGTAATGCGGCCACTCAGTAGCGCCTTGGCGTGGGAAACCAAGGCACGTGGGTTTGAAACCCGCAGGGAATACATTAAATCCGGAACTCAAGCATCTTAGGTTTCTAATAAATACAGAGATATACAAATTACTTCAATGAATTACTCTATGTTTCTGAGCTGAGAAGCTATTATCATATGTATCTAATTGTCACTTCCTTGTATTTTTCTATGTTCTTGTTATCTTGATATAATCTTAACACCTGTATTTTCTTCTGTATAATCAACACTTGACCTGTATTTAACATCACGCAAGAACTCATCATAAGCCCCACTTGCATATGAGTATAATGAAAGAATAATAATAATAATAATAATAATAATAACTAATCTCTTTCAATCTTGATTTTATATTCACAACTGCTGTGTCTGTAACTGCTGTATCTATAACTACTATTTTCTTTCTCATCTTTTTCAAAGCATTCTTCAGAATGTGCGGATGCAATTCATACAACAGATAGATTAATAAACACTTAAAGACTGCATACTGCTGAATTTATGTCATTAATAGTCCCTGCTCAAGATATTTATCTTATAATCTTATAGACTTACTCACTAGATATTTTATCAGTATATTACTCAGAACTTTATTTAAGTATTTCATCTTTCTATTTGTCTATAAGTGATATGATATTGTTTTACAATGTCTTGTCTGTAACTGGCTCATGAAATGCCTTACTACTTCTTCTATGAAATTCATATCATTATCTGTCAGAATTTCATGTGACATTTCACAGTTAATATAGATCTCATTACATAGAAATTTTATCACTATTTTCTCTATCATCTCTGAAACTGCTTTCACAACTGATCACTCAGTAGTGTAGTCAATATCAGTGATTATTCAATGATTTTCATTTGATATTCACAGTAATATATCTATGAGATTCATCTTTCATTGTTTAAACAGTTGTATTATATATTTTATCTGATATTGTACTTTTTTATATTCTAACTCTTTCTTAGATTCTTTTACAACCTGATAATTTAGGCACTTGTGAGTATATATCTGAATGTTCTTGATCATGCTTGATCAGTATACTCTTGATTCAAGTATACTCATGAGTTCAGAAGTTTCTAAGTAACTGAATTTATTGTATATATAAGTCATCAAGTTATATCTAAATAAATGTTTCAGATATATTCTAGATTATAATACAGTATAATATTATTTTTCAATTTCTTCAGCTTAAAGTTCAGAAGTATCTCTTCTACTATCTTTGTAAAATGTTTATTACCTAATACTTTATCATTTTTCAAGTGAGAGATCATTGTATTCACTCATTCTGATTTCTTACATCTTCTCACTG